TGCCCAGTAGTGGGTTTGCTGGGTCGTATGGTAGTTCTATTTTTAGTTTTTTAAGGAACCTCCATACTGTTCTCCATAGTGGCTATATCAATGTACATTCCCACCTGTCTAGTATTTTTTTTTGATAGGATGCTAGATATTGTGAATGTTACATTGTTGGGTGTCAGATTTTGTTGTCTTTTTTAAAAGAGGGTTGAAGTTTACTTTGACAGGTTAATTTTCCTGTATATCAGGCTGATCCTGATAAAGCTTAAAAAGAAATGGTTTTGTTTAAAAGTTTTTACTGACGTTTAACATACGTACATAAAAGTACACATATCATTTGTGTACAGCTTGATAAATTCCTGCCCACGTACTTGGCACTCAGATCAAAAGCCAGCACATTACCAGTATCACAGAAGCTCTGTCTTGTGTTCCTCAAGGCTTGATTTTAAGCTGTGTTAGGGCAGGGCTAAAATCATCTTTACTCTAGAGCTAATTTAGACTACTACACCAAGGCATGGCCTCTGTGGGTCTCTAACGATTGCCTGAGTGATCAACAAGATCTTACTCTGGCCGGCTGGAGCTTGAATGGCTCCTACTCTTAGGAGCTCCCCTCTACACACGGGCAGGTCAGCCTACAGAAGATTAGTGAAGGGGACTCAATTCAGATTTTTGCTGAGTAGCTCCCTTCTATCTGGTACTCTGACCCACAAATTTAAACCACCTCTCCCTCAAACTCAGATTTCTACTTCCTTAGCTCAGCAAGATGGTGTGCTTTGCTGGGGAGTCCCCTCTGGCAACAGGGTCCAGAAAATGCCTTAAGGCAGAAAGCCAGGGGGATCACAGGACTCATCTCAATTGCTTCCTTTCTCTCAGGGATTATATTCCTGCACTGCTTGTTGTCCAATACGTGAAAACAGCTGTTTTCATATTTGCTCAGAGTTTTATTTGTAAATGGAGGGAGGAGAAATTCAGTTCCAATTATTCCATCATGGCTAGAAGCAGAACAAAGGCCTCTTTTAATAAAATTTCCAGCATGGATGCCATGTTTTGCAAGATTTCATCTACCAAAATAACCCAATCCACATGTCCCTTCCATCCTTCCATCTATCTATTCAGTGGCTGCTACATCCCTCGGAAACAAAGATGAATAAAACTTGATTCCTGCCCTCAAAGAACTCACAATTAAAAGAGAAAGCCAGAAATGTGTAATAAATTATACTGCTGGATGGTAAGTATAATTTTATAAGCAATATAAAGGTTTGTGAGGACAAAGAGAAAGGTACGGTCAAATCTACTTGGAAAGGTCAGGGAAGGTTTTTACAGACTTGGGTTTAGCCTAAGTTTTGAAAAATGAGTTTCATTTTTCATTAGTGATTGACAGATGGGGTAGGACATTTGGGACAAAAGAAACTATATGCAAAGTATAAAGTCATGAAACAACATGTAAGCTTGGGAGAACTACTAATTCCAAACACCTATAACATAGGGTTTGAAGCAGGGACAGGAAAGAGCTAAAGTTATGGGGAAAAAATGGGAGGATCCTATCATAAAGGAGGGCCCTGCATGCCATGCTAACCATCATTTGCATCCGTAATTCATCATCATTGACTACCACCTACAGAGCTCATAGGATAACTGCTTTATACATATTATATTCATTACATTTAATTCACACAACCACATATTATAAGGAAACTAAGGCTCGGAGAGCTTACATAATTTTGCCCAAGATCACATGATTAGTAAGTGAAGAAGCCAGAATTTAAAGAAAGGTCTGATTCCAAAGCCAACAAAAGGAACTTGCCTCTAATCTGTAGGCACTGGGAAGGTACAGAAGGATGTTTTTGTCTTCAGAACTTGTTTTTTGTTTTTAAAATTATATTCATTGATGAAATGGTTTTCAGTAGGAAGAAATAAAGTTAAATTTATGTTTTGGAAAGGGCTCTCTAGTACACGAGTTAGAAGGGCTGCAGTCTGAAGAACCAGTTCAGAGGCTGCTGGAAACAGTACAGGAGAGAAATAAGAGCTTGGACTAGGTGGTGTTTAGGAGGGATGGAGACAAGGATTTGGGAAAGTTTCAGAAGCAGAATCTGTCAGATGCAGTAAACAAGTAGCTTTGGCAAAAGGGGAGATTGTGAGGTCAACTGTGGACATGCTGATACACTGAAAGGACCTGGCTCTGTACCACGAGCAGAGGATGCAAAGGTGTACCGGACAAGATTCCCCCTCTCAAGGACTTGACAGTTCATGTAGCCTCAATGAAGGCAAGCACCTTTCAACACTAGATGGTGTGGACATCATCAGCGCCCTGTGCTTCAGCCCCAACAGATACTGGCTCTGCTGCCACAGGCCCAGCATCCAGATCTGGGACTTGAAGGGCAAGGTCACTGTAGATGAACTGAAGCAACAAGTTATCAGTACCAGCAGCAAGGCACGGCTGCCCCAGTGTGACTCTCTGGCTTCGTCTGCTGTTGGCCAGACTCTGTTTGCTGGCTACACGGACAATCTGGAACGAGTGTGGCAGGTGACCATAGACACCCATTAGAGATATATGGCAGAGCTTTAAAAATAAAAGATTGGTTTTCTGAGTTAAAAAAAAAAATCAAATCTATGAATTCCACTGAAACACAGTAAGTACTGTAGGGACCATATTCCCTCCTCACTACTATCTTGGAATCTTTGATGAGTCTAAAGCCCCATTCTGGAAACAACTGCTGTGGAACATTCTCAACCCTCCACAAACCAGCTTGCAAATGGGAGGTCCTTTTCATGTGGGCTGAGAACTTTTAGGATATGGAGGGAACCAACTGTCCTCTAACTCTGGCTGTAATTATTGACAATGATTTTATTAAGAACAAATGCAGCACCATTTATCAAACACTGACAACAAGTGAGCACGGTGTCAAGCACCTGATGAACACCCCCATCTCATTTACCTGCCACAACGATCTAATGACAGGCCTAGCAGTCCTCTTTTGAGGATGGGAAACTGAAGCTCAGAGAGGGAAAATAACTTGCTCAAGTTTCCTTGGTTCCCTGAGGCTACCTCACTGATAATCTGAAAGGCATCTTGGAATGTGCTATCTTCAGGAAGGCTTCATTACCCTCTCCCTGGGCTCCTCTGTGCCTGATTCCTATTTTATTTGTGGCCCCTGTTACGTTATACCCTGAGATATATGTGATTCACATGTCTGTTTCCCCCACTGGAATATGCTCTTTGAAGGAAAGGACTAGATCTGCTTCATCTTTGCTATTTGATGCCCAGCCCCAGCTCAGAGCACTGCATATGGGATAGTCAGTCCACTCAATGGTTTCTGGGCCATCAGTCACTCATCTTGGGCTGCCTGGGGCCCCTGGCCATTCCTTGTACTTCAAATACCCCAGGCTCACTTGCCACATTTATTCAGCACTTGCAAGGTCCATGCCTAAGACACCCATGACTTAAAGGGAGAACTTTTCCACTGAAAGGGAACTGGAATAGAAAGCTCAAATTCCTTGGACCAAAAAGAACTCAAATTACAGCCCAGAGGCCCTGAGACACCAACCACGTACCCTGTCCTGACATGATCAACAGCAAACCTCACAGGGTCTGGCACTTTTATTTTTCCTACACTGTCATCTCTCTCTGCCTCAGAGTGGGACTGTGTACACAGACTGGAGACAGCACGGGCTGGGTGTCATCCAGACTAGGCTCCAATCACAGCTCTGCCCCCGCCAGCCGTATGATCTGTGGCAAGACACATGCTCCCTGAGGTTCTCTTCTCCCTTACCTACTCCATGGGGCTAGGATGCCAACTGAGTGAGACCCCGAATGCAGAAGGCACCTAGGGGCAGCGGGGCTCGGGGGGTCTGTGGAGTGACAGAGCTGGGTTCACTTCTTGGCTCCCCCTCTTTTTAGCTCTGTGAGGTAAAGTGAGGATAAGAAAAATACCTTCCTCAGAGTTGTGTGAAGAGTAAATGAGAAGTCAGTGATGAGTGTTTAACACATAGAAGTCAATGAATTGTAGCCACTGTTTAATTATGGCACAAAGGACACATCCTTACAGAACACAAAGGACCCCCCAAAATCTCACAGTGAGTTAAGAGCAGAGGAGTCTGAAACCCTGCTGCAAACCATTCACCAACAAGCAGCAATCTCTCCCAGACAGCTAACCCCCAAGTGCCACTGGGACTCCTGGCAGTAATGCAGCGGCAGTGGCCACCTGCCACCACGCAGGCCCAGCCGCGCATCAGCACACACAGCCAGGAACACCCACTCCTTCCAGTCTGTAAGCCAGTGTGACTTTACAGACGTTCTCGCAAGCAGAGTTTTGGAGGCCAGACCACAAACATCAGAACTGTACTTCCAGGGAGCCCCGACCCTCCTCATCCGTACGAACAACGGGGGAGGCTGGGTCTACTTCGAACAGCCACCCACAAGGCAGCTCTGAGTGGCAACATGAGACAGGTGTGTGGTCAGATGTCAGTGTGGCAAATGTGGCAGCCAGTTGCTTTTCGCTAAACAGGCCCACCTTCTGTCTAGACCTGAGGTAACTAAGAAAGATTTAGGGCACATGGAGCCACATTCAGAGCACTGGCAGTAGACACCCTACTGCGTGGGAAACAGCTGCGTTTGATGATGGCACAGGAAAAAAAACGTAGGTCTGAAGTGCCCCAAATTGCTCACACTGAAGCCCTTCCACCCGCCTTCAGTGGGGTTACCCCGGGAGGCTGTCCTGCTCTCTGGACATGGCAATGGCAATGAGGATGGCAAGACCCCCAGGCTCCACAGAAAGAGGGGCCGTCTAGACCCTGGGGTCACTTCAGATGAGGGTTATGAGAGCAAAACAAGACTAAAAAAATGAACCACCTCCCAACTTTCTTCACTGAGACAAAGGTTCCAGAGGTAACAGAAACCAACCGCAGTTCTAAGGCTACAGGAAAACCACAGCTGTATCCATCCCTTCTCCCCAAAGGAATGTTCACATCCACTGCATGAGCTCCCGGGAGTCAGAACTCAAGAGCTCATTACCCACCACGTCATTTGGGAGGCTCTGGAGGTCATCAAAGGGGGTTTCCAGGGTGTTGGTGTCCACATTCAGAATCACGACATCATCCAGGGCCATGTTTCTGACTTTCTGCAAGTAAGAAAAAAATCCAGAAGAGAAAATCATTGAAGCCCCACGAAGACACAGACACTTCTCTGGCTTTCTCTGGGAAAGGGGAGTAGGGAAGAAAAGTGACATTTGACAAAGGTATACTCCGTGGCAGGCTCCATGCCAGGCAGTTCACATGTGTGAGGCCATTTAACTGTGACAAAAACTCTGTGAGCTTGTATGGTCATCCCCAAGCCCCAGGAGTGGAAAGGGTTTCAGAGACTAAGTTAACATGCCCTAGGTCACACAGCTAGGGGGAGAGATCTTTATACCCCAACATGATTTCTTTTCCTATATTTTCAAATTAAAAAAAAGAAGAAGAAGAAGTTGAAGTCTAAACCTCTGGCTCCAGGAAATCTGATATACAGCTAGGGTCTTATGACAGCCCCATTCCATCCAGCCCCTCTCATTTGCCAAAGACTACTTGCCCATCTCTGTCGGCTCTTGGCATTTTGGGGTATGGAATACGTTGTACAGCCTAGTGTTAACACATTAACATTTCTCTTTAACATTAAGTAGAAAGGTCACACTTTCAAATTGGTTCCATTTTCCATAGAAATCCAGCTAGTGAATCACGGCTCCAAGGCTCTGGCCATAACCCATTATTCTACTGGTACAGTAGTAGGAAGGGTAAGGGAGACTTGTGCCTACTAGGTGCTCATGTTTGGTGAGAGGATGAAGGTACAGTATGGAGAAAAGCAGAGCCCACCATCTGGGAGCAACTGTCCATCGTCTGGAGAAGTATAAGACTGTATGTAAGCTAGTTTTCAATCACACTGTTTACCCACCGCTAGAATCCATCTCTACTTCCCTCCTGCCTACCTACCACTTCCAATCTCATTCAATCCTCTTACCCCATCATATATCAAAGCTCATTTCTTTAGAGTCTAGAACTTTCATTTTGTCCTGATTAAGCAGAAAGACCCGTTTGCTAATGCCCTGGAAATGGACAACAATTAAAGTATAGTAGATGCCTACTAGTGCTTGCTCTATGTTTTACTTACTAATTCTCATTTAATTCTTATCAAATCCTGCAAAGTGCACACTACCACCTTCATTTTAGGTAACTTGAGGAAAATGAGGTTCAGAGAGGTGAGGTGAGTGGCAGAGGTAACGCAGCACCGGCCACCTCCACAGCTCATATTCTTGCACTGCACCTCAACCTCTTTGTCATCAGACACCCCCAGTGAAACTGACCTCTGCCATCCTTGTCGCTCTGAGCCCTAGCACCCCTTTGCCTGCCTGCCTCCCCTTACTGGCTCCAGGAGCCCCCTCCCTCAGGGGCTCATCAGTTTGGTTCAGCACTGCATAATAACCAGCACCCAACAAAATGATTGGCATGGGCTTCCCTGGTGGCGCAGTGGTTGAGAGTCCGCCTGCCGATGCAGGGGACACGGGTTCGTGTCCCGATCCAGGAAGATCCCACATGCCGCGGAGTGGCTGGGCCCGTGAGCCATGGCCGCTGAGCCTGCGCGTCCAGAGCCTGTGCTCCACAATGGGAGAGGCCACAACAGTGAGAGGCCCGCGTACCACAAAAAAAAAAAAAAGATAGGCACTTGGTAAGGGCTCATTAATATTGGTTGATGTTTGTTGTCTCAAATCCCAGCCTCTAGGACAGAATTTTCATACCTAAGTAAACATTTTGAGATTCTTCCCAGCAGGAGGGTTGGAACCATGCTGGTCAGAAGCCTCGTAGGGTTGAAATAACACTCCCAGAGGGCAGGATCCTGGAACCCTTCCGCTCAACAAGACCAGGAGCCTCAAATTTCTTCTGCTGTTGACTTTTCCAGCGGCTAGTCAGTCCACAAACCTATCAATCAATTCATACACTTACTAAATGCTTCCTGTGGGCTGAGAGCCGCAGGGGAAGGACAGGTTTGCCTACTTAGAAGTTTATTCTTTCCTCCAAACCCCAAAACTGATATTAACTGACTGCTTTATTCACAGGGTAAAAAGCTATCAGCAAACAGCATTGATAACTAGTGTTTTACAAAGCACAATCCCATTTTACAGTTGAGAACATTAAGACTCATGGTGAATTGTCCAGGGCTCCTCAGCTGCCTCACTTTGCAGTCCAACAGGTTAAATACTTCGCAGTGCACGAGCAGGAAGTTACAAAACAGCCTCAACAAGAACCTTTTTCACTTACATCACACTTCAGAGCTCTCAAAGTACTTTCACACAGATTCTTTCATTTTCAACAGTAGCTGGAGGTGAGGGATCACCATTTCAGAGACGAAAAACTGAGGCTCAGAGAGGTGAAGTGGCTTGCCTAAGGTTATGTGGCTACTAACTGGCCTCTTCATCTATAAAATCGAGAAGATAACTGTGACTGCTCACCCCACCCCAGCCCTCTTCCCCGGGGATGCTGTGCGAATTAGAGGTGGTGTGTGCACAGCACTGGGCACACAGTAGGCCTTACAGTCGCTATTATTATTGCTTTTATAATATACACGTCACCCACGGCCAGTCTGGAAACTAGCGGCAGTGGCCTAAGGGCAAAAATCCTCTGGCCCCTCTTGGTAACTGCTGGGCTCTCACTTCAAAGGCTGAGACTGGCACTGGACACGGAATCGGAGAAGGGGCCACGAGGGGCTCCGGAACTCAGCCGGTGACTCCAAGCCTTGAGGACTGAGCTGAGGGTCGCTGCACCTCACAATCGCCAATTTTGCCTCATCTGACCTCCAAAGAGCTCCAGAGAGCCCCAAACAGATGGGGGCAAGGGACCCGGCCATTGGAGAGAAGCCTCGGGCTGAAAGGCCCAGAGACAGGGCTGTTGATTCTGGACCAGAATTGGGTGTTGTTTCTGCGTTCCCAGTGAGGGTCCAGTGACACAGACCAGCCCTTGTGGGCTCTCCACGGCTGGGCTGGAATGGGCTTTTGATTTCTTCCCACTCCTGGTTGGAGGACTTGCTGCTTAAGCTGTGTGGAGTGTTTACTTTTTGAACAATGGCAGCAGGCTGAAGAAGAGGAAAAAACCTGGCTCTTTCTTCTGACTTAGCAGGCCAGGGTCCCCTTAGTAACCAAAATGCCCGTGCACCAGGCTCCAGGAGGAGCTGGGTCGGCACAGTTTCCTCTCATAGGACAATGCTGCCCTCCTGGTGGTAAGGCCTCTTCCAAAGGGGCTGGCATGGACTCAAGGGCCTTCCTGAAGCTCATGTTCCCAAGGAAAGAATCAGAGGCCAGCTTGGCCGGATGGTGCCCTATCCCTGAAAGGCTCAAGGAAACAAGAGGAATGAAGAAAGGCAAAAAACAAAACAAAACCCCTCAAACTGAGGGATGGAGTGGGCGGTGCTGATGGAGAAGGAAACTGGGCCATTACTGGGGGACCGCATTTAACCCTGACCATGCTATGAGGGAGGTATCACCTGCTCTGTGGTAAGGAGGAAGCTTAGAGAAGTCAAAGAAACTGGTCCAAATCACACAGCTAGGGAGTGGCAGAGTTGAATTCTGAACCCAGTCTGACTCTTCTGAAGATGTGCTCAAACCAGTTGCTCAGACTTCAGAACAAGTATCTATGTAGGGCATGCAGCTACACCAGCACTCTGAGGGCTTGCTTTCTCTTACACAAAATGACACGTCTTTTGTATCATAAAAATTACATGTTAAAAAAAAAATGGGAAAGACAAAAAAGTTCAAAGAAGAAAACTGTGGTTATCCTAATCCCTCTACCTGGAGATAATGTTTTGGTGTATTTCCTTCCACAACCCTCTGCCCCAATCCCTACTTTTTAAAACACAGTTGAAACAATTCGTAATGTTTCTTTCTGATTTTCTCATTTATTACAATATAAGCAATATTTCACTTCATTAAAAGCTTTGTAAAGATCATTGCTAATTGCTACAAAATGTTCCACTTCATAGAAACAAACCCAACTAAGCCCCTTTTGTTGGCTATTTCCAGTTTTTAAGAAATTATTATAAATAATATTGTTGTGAAATCTGCAGGCATAAAGCCTTGTGCTTTAGCATGGATTCCTAGAAGTGGAATTTCCTTTCCACTTCTTAAAGAAATGTCCCTCTCAAATTCGACTTTGAGAGAGATATCTTTACTTCCAATTATTTTAAAGTCATTTTATCCACAGCTTGTGTTTCCTACTCTAAGTGAAGAAAAATCAGCAAAGACACGAGCAGATGTCAAAATAGTCCTCCAAAAACCCTACCCAATTAAAACACTTACTAGTACCGCAGCACACCGAGACAGCTCTCCGGTAGCTCGTCCCACCAACACATTCCCTCTCTTTTTAGTTACAACATATGCCAAAGCTCCTGCCAGCTGCAAACCCTCCCCCCACCAGACTCTATAGGCTTTTTCTCAGAATGAAAAAAAAAAAAAAAGATACTGACATGCACACTGGCTTTCCAAATGGCATTTCTTACGCAGAGAAACACACAAAAATGGCATCTTCCCATAAATATTATTAATCAAAAATGTCTTTCCCTTTATACTTTGTCACGGACAGACTTAGTCTGACCTCTGCCTTTCGGGACAAGAAAGGGAAAAATCAGAACATGGGAGGTGGTCAGGGCGGCTGAGTGGATACAGGCTCAACCTCATAAATTCTCCAGGTTTTCATCTGTAAAATGGGGATCACGATAGTACCCACCTCATAGAGTTGTCGTGAGGATTAGATAAGTGAATGTACGTAGAAGAGTTAGCAAGACTGCCAGGACATCCATAAGAGGCGTTCAACCAACAGCGGCTCTCTTGCCCGTCTGTCCCGTCTCCCTCAATGTTTCTTGGAACCTCAGTGGAGCCTGGCTAACCTTACCCCAAAGGGCCCGAGGGAGCAGAAAATTTGCCTTTCCCCATGGTAGCCTATGGTTTACTCCCACAACCAGAAAAATACGGCAATCTAGAGTCATTAGTACAGGCATTTGACTCCTTCCCTGGTCTGTGGGCTTCTTGGGGCCACCAAGACAGACCTCTGTATTCTCAGCTCCTACCTCAATATTTGGCCCACAGCAGGCAATTTATGAATG